GTGTCGAGGGCCGGCCCCGCCATGCCCCTCACTCCTCCTCGTTTCCCCCTACCTCAGCACCGCTACAGACTCTGCGCATGGATGTCTGGGGCCCCGTCCCCGTCCATGGGCCGCGTTGAGAGCGCTACTTCCTAGTGCTTGTTGACGACTACACGCGCTAAACCACTGTGTTCCCCCTAGAACGGAAGGCCGACGTGCCTGCCCTTCTCATCACGTGGCTTGTCGCTGTGCATGTCCACCGCGGACTCCCTGTCTTCCGTCTCCACTCCGACCATGGTGGTGAGTTTGCCTCTCGTGTCCTTGGTCGTTTTTGTCGTGCGGAGGGCATCACCCAGACGTTCACCTTGCCGGACTCCCCGCAGCAGAATGGGGTCGCTGAGCGACGCATCGGTTTGGTCATGGAGGTGGCTCGCACCTCCATGATCCATGCCAGTGCACCCCATTTTCTGTGGCCATTCGCCGTTCCCTACGCCGCTCACCAGCTTAACCTGTGGCCGCACCCCCCACAGCCTCAGGTTTCGCCGACCCTTCTTTGGTCTGGGTCCCCGGGTGACTCGTCTGCGTTTCACGTCTGGGGCTGCCTTGCTCACATTCGTGCCTCTGGTACGGACAAGCTCACTGCCCGCACCCTTCCCTGTGTCTTCATCGGCTTCCCCCTTGACGCGTCTGACTGGCACTTCTACCACCCGCCGTCTCACCGGTTCTTTCATTCCTGTGACGTCACCTTTGACGAGTCCGTCTCCTTCTTCTGCCGCTTCCCCCACTGAGGTCCCCCGGTTACCCCCCCCCCCTGTTCCTGGTCACCCCTTCTCCGGTTGTCGCCGCCCCTCCTCCTCCCCCTTTCCGTCCTGCCCCCTCTGGTGTGTCCCACGTCACCCCACTTTCGTCGGTTCTCCCGGTTGAGGAGTCTGCTGACTCTGGTGATCTTGCGGCGCAGTCCTCGCCGCCTGCCCCTTCTCAGGTGTCTCCTCCGCCGCCGCCTCCGCAGCTGTCGTCGCCACCGCTGTCACAGCCATCCTCCCCGCCGCTGCCACAGTCGTTGTTGCAGCCGCCGCCGCCGCAGCCGTCGCCGCCGCAGTTCGTTGCCTCTGGGAGTGCTGGAGTTGGGGTGAATACTAGTCCTGGGACTCGTGTCGTGGCTTGTCGCGGCGGGCCTGGGGGTGGTACCGGTGTTCGAGGGGTTCTGAGCTCTTGGGGTGTTTCTTATGGGGGTGCTGGCTAGGAGTGTTTTGGAGGTCGCCGCCAGGCAGCTTGCGGTCCCGGTGTCGGTGTCACACCACCGCCGCAGAAGTCCCCGCCAATGTCCGCTCTTTGCCTGCTCGGCCTTCCGTCCCCTGACCCCGTGCTTGTGCCTCCTCCTGTCTACGGCCCTGTGTTCCCTCCTCCGGACTCGTCTCCGGCTTGTTTCCCCCCTCATTCCCCTCTTGTGTCCTCTCCTCTGTCTCGTGACCCGACTCCTCCGTCTCACGTCTGGTCTCGCCGTCCCTCCCGTGCTCGACCTGTCTCCCCTGTCTCGTGCTCTCACCCTATGTTGCTTTGTTCCCACGCGTCTCGTCCTCCCCTTCTCCCGTTGCCCCCTCCGTCCTCCCTTGTCGTTGCTCCCCCCCCTCTGTCTGACTACCTGCGTGCCGCTCGTCCCCTTGTTCCTCGGGTCCTTGCCTCTCTCGTTACCGACCCGTCTGTTCCGGTTTCGAGTCTTTACGCCCTTGTAGCTGCGGTCACTGACTTCGCCTCTACCCGCCGCCTTGACTACACCACCGCTCCGGTCTCTGACCCTGCCTGTCCTCTGTCTGTTGGGGGTGCTCATGCCCTCGGCAGTGACATCCGGGAGGACCGCCAGTACGAGCTTGCTTTCCTGTCCGAGGCTGCTCCCCAACTTTGGTCTGTGCTTCTTGTCCCTGAGGGTGACCCAGACGCTTTCGACATCCCGACCCCTCGCACTTACGCTGAGGCGGTCTCGGGACCCTGGGCCTCACAGTGGATAGCTGCCATGGAGCAGGAGATGGCATCTTGGAGATCCACCAGCACCTACATCGACGCAGTTCCCCCACCTGGGCTGAACGTAGTCAATGGCCGCTGGCTCTTCGAAGTGAAGCGCCCCCCTGGAGAGCCGCATGCGTTCAAGGCGTGCTACGTGGTTAGAGGTTTTAGTCAGCGTGAGGGGGTGGACTTCTTTCAGACTTTTGTCCCGACCCCGAAGATGACTACTCTTCGGGTGCTGCTATAAGTAGCAGCTCAGCGTGCCTACGAGTTACACTCCCTCGACTTCTCCACTGCGTTTCTTCAGGGCAGTCTACACGAGCAGGTCTACCTGCGCCGCCCTCAGGGCTTCACTGGTACTTTCCCTCCTAGGACCTAGTGGCTCTTGCGGCGCCCCGTCTACGGCTTGCGGCAGGCTCCCCGTGAGTGGCACGACACACTGCGTGCTACGCTTGCTGGCCTGCAGTTCTTTCCGTCCTCTGCAGACCCCTCGCTCTTCGTTCGTGCTGGCCAGACCCCGTTCTACATCCTTATTTACATTTTGTTAAACTTTCAGTTGACCGAACGGGCAACTGGCCAGAATTTTGCTATGTTTAGAATGCGGAATTTACTCTCATTCCAATGCAGTTAAAAAAAAAAAATGTGATAGTCTCATTCAAAACTTCTGGGTTGTTTCGGGTGTTGGCGGGGACTGTATATGAGAACATGACTTAGTCGAAATGTTCAGTGGGTTGTGGCGCGTGTGAGGGGATGTCTCTAGCATTCCGGGACTTCGCCGAAATTTTAGATGGGTTGTGGGGTGTGGGGTGGGGGTTGTCTCTAGGGTTCGGGGACTTTGCCGAAAAATTTATGGGGTTGTGGGGTGTGTGGGGCATGTCTCTAGCGATTGGGGACTTCATCAATTTTTTCGAAGGTTGGTTCATTTTCTCAAGATCCCTAGAAGGGATCAAGATTGGGAAAATGGGTTATCTGTAAATTCAGGTTTTGCAAAAAAAAAAAAAAAGGGTCTGAAATTTCAGACTAATCTGACTAAATAGTCTGATAAAATCAGCCCTGCGCGCGTAGTACACTTGGCCTCCGGTGCCAACATAGCTGATATATTTACGAAGGCGCTTGCGCCTAAAGATCATCAGCGGCACTGTGTACAGCTAGGTCTCGTTCCTGTAGCCTCACACTTGCTAGGGCCTTGACTTTGTATTGTCATTTATATACATATTTTACCCTGACTGGCCTTGTGGCCTCTCCCAGTGGCTGGACTAGTAGTGCCACCCTGGTCTTGCTCTTGCCCTGTGTGTACTCCTTGTGACTGGTCTTTAGACCCTTGTCTCAGAGATTGGACTAGTAGTGCCGCCCTGAGCTGCTTCTTCCCTTGTTATGCACTGCCCCTATATAGTCTAGGGGTGTGTCAAACATAACTCATGCAGTTACTGTAGACTATATATGTTTGTGCCTTAGTGGGTACAGCTCACCAATCTATATTGCCTTGTATCTCCCCATTCTAGTCATTATTCATTCTGATACAAGTTACCATTGTTTCAAATGTTTAGAACAAATTGAAGTGAATGTGTACCGCGGCTTTAAAACCCACACATTAACCCTGGTCCATTTGCCTCCACATGCTGCAGTCGCATGAATGTACTGTAACGCAATAAAAGCGAAGATTTTGCTCGTCGTTTCTGGGGCGGAAAAGGCAAGGAACCGAGAGCAAGTTGCTGTCGCGGTTTGGGGAGAGACACGCTTGATTTTTCCCTCCAAACGTGGACAGTAGTTTTGTACACGTGGCAAACATTGAGTTCCAATGAACACGTACATAATTTCGCAAACGTAAAACCCTCAAATTCGCGACTATCGTCTTCCGGTTCCACGTCGGTATTATCTTGTAACAGAAGTCGTACATAAACCGTGTTACTGAATTCTCCTAGTATGGCACCAATGAGTTGGCACGTGTGACCCAATCATTTGTCAAGCAATACTTTTGTCCCTAAACTTTGGGCTTGCCAAAGTACCTGACCGCCTTTTTGCCACGGTGAGATCTTATTGCATACCAAAAGGCTAGGTTCGTACCGAGCCTCCTGCTCTTTATGTTTTCATGGCTGGTGGTCTTCGGCACTCCGAGAAACTTGCACGCAGGTGTGGCGATGCCCCATTCGAACAATGTATTTGTTTTCGCTGCCCAGCTGGTTTCCTGGCATGTTGTCGAACAACAATGGGGCGCATACATCCTGCTCTAATTTCCCCCATTGGCTATTGGCAGGATTCTAGGCACTGCTGCCGAGCTGACGAGCCCAAAACACTTCCTTTTGAATGGATGTGCCAAAGGCCCATGGGTCCAAAGTTGCCCCAAACCCAGACCCCGCATACGTGGCCGGGGCCATGACATGTGAATTGATGTGGTTCGGTTCGGAGTTGGTTTGATATCGATTCGATGTTTTCCAACAAGGCAGTCGGAAAATGAATTCCCAACAGCACAGCCGCCCTCCGCCCCCCATCGCCGCAACGCGGGGCAGGTGTGGTGTGGGGACAAGATGACTGACAAGAGCCAATGGCGCTGACCTTTCTCGGCGCGTTGGGCAACTGGGGCAACTTCAAGAAAATCCTTCATGAGTGAGATTGGGTAAGTACTGGGTCTGGGACCTGGGGCTGGACGAGAGCGAAAAAAAAAAAAAAAAAAACGAACTGGAGGAAGGCGAGGTGCCCTGGACTGGAAAGTGCTTGCGGTGGGCGGGATCGGCCCAAGGGAGTGTGCTGCTACTGTAGGCACAGCTGGAAGAGCCAGCTGGGTTTGGGCGTGGAATGGCGGGGAACGGCAGCAACAGAACCCAGAGAAAACTCCCCCCATTCTGCCCGTTCGTCGGGTTTTCCATTCTGCCCGTTCCCACCCAACCCCCTTCCATCTCTCCGCCCCCTCTCTCCCTCCACCCTCGGAGCTTCACCCTCTCGGGAGACTCCAGGCACCATGGCTCGCAGGATTGTATTTAGGCTTCCAGCCTCTATCGCCGGGCTTCTTTTTCGGCTCTCTATTCCCAGCCGCGCAGCCACGGATTCCGTTGCCGTGGTGGTGATCGTTGAGTGGCTGGGATTAGAGCAGCTTATCTCTAGCTGCATTCGCCGCTCCTCTCTCGTCTCGGTTCATTTGAGAAGCTAACCGTGAAGCATTAATTGCGTAGGGCCTTCGCTTCGAAGGCCCCGGCAACGCTGCGTCTACTCGTATTTTTCTCCAATTTAACTCGCTAAACGCGCCTCTTCGCGCCGCGATAGGCGGGTCTCGGATCGCGCTTGCAGCGGGAGGCAGTGATCCGGTCGCTCTTAGCATAAAGGATGCCGGGACCTCAACTCGTGCAACGAAAAGCGCCTGATCTCTCGGCGCATCTGCATTCTGATCTCCGCCCAAGTTTCTCCCCAGGCTTCCCTTCTTCTCCGAGTTTTCAAGCCAAGGCGTGCCTCTGCCGGCGCTTCGTAGACTCAATAGCGGACGCAGCGGCGGCGGCGGCGGCGGCGGTGGTGGCTCCAGTCGATCTGCGCACGGCACAATTGGCGATCCCCGCCGAGAATAAACTCTTTAAGGCGTCCGCGGAGATTAACTCTCTCTCCACTTCCCCACCTTTTTTATCCTTCTCATCTGCTCCCGCTCCTGTCCCCGCTCCTGCCCCTGCCCCTGCCTCTGCCCCTGCCCCTGCCCCTGCCCCTGCCCCTGCTCATCGTTCGGGCAATTGCGTGGCGGCTGTCAGCATGGCTCCGATTTCGTCTTCCTTGGTTCCAAGACAGCTCCCGGGCTCCGCCGCCGCGGCGAGCTCGTTCTTCCGGCAAAATGCAGCAGCGCCGGATGGTCTACATCTCGCAGACGGCGACCGAAAGTGCGGGATCCGTCACCAATTGGAGGCCTGCACGTGTGATTCGGCCCCAGATGGCACGCGGCAGGCGGATCTGGCAGCGAGGACTAAGGTCGACACGTGCACGGCTGACAGGTGTAAAATTGACGCGTGTGCGGCTGACGCGGCGGAGGAGACGGACAGGCGAGGAGCAGATGAGCTTCGAGCGAGTGTTGGAGAACAAGGAGAGCAAGAAGATTCTCTGCGATCGCCGACAGCAATGCAAGCGCGTAATGTTAACGTCCAGACGAAAGATGATCCCTTTTTGGATCGTCATCAGCAGCGGCAGCAGCAGCAAGAGGAGCGTCGGCAGGAGGAGGTTCGGCGGGAGGAGGATCGGCCGCAGGAGGGTCGGCGGGAGGAGGTTCGGCATCAGGAGGGTCGGCAGAAGGAGGTTCGTCAGGAGGAGGTTCGGCTGCAGGAGGTTCGGCAGGAGGAAGTTCGACAGCAGCAGGAGGACCACCATCACCAACATCAAGAGCTGGAGGTTGAGAAGGAGAAGCAACTAACGATTAAGTGCCGTGAGACCCCTTCAGAGGAGCTTCCACGCGATGAGATTAACGAGCCTGCACGCCGGGTGAGCGATTGCGACGCGGTACAAGGAGGGCAACGGCAGCAGCAGACGGAGAAGCAGGAGGAGAATGAGGAGCAGCAGGGATGTGAGGGCGCGCAGGAGCAGAAGAACGAGCGGGGTGACACGGCGACGATGCAAGACGACTCTGCGCGTGAGCCCAAGAAAGATCAGCCGCAGCATCAGCATCAGCAACAGCAGCAGCATCATCATCAGCAGCAGCCGCAGCAGCCATGGCACGGCCAGCTACTCGATGAAAGCGCGTCGGATCATCCTCTGCTCGACTCGAGGATCGTCAGCAGAGCAAGCCTTTCCAACATTACTAGGCGCGGAGCGGGAACGGAACCGGGCGCGCGTGCGCGAGCGGGTGCGGGGACGCGAGCGGGGGCGCGCGCGGGAGCGGGGGTGCGCGTGTGCGTGCGCGGGGGCCGCGCGCTCGTCGTGAACACGGATCCCGACGCCACGGATTCGTCGGACGACGAGCAACATCTCGACTACAACGCGCTTTCTAGCACCTGGACTCACCGCTTCCTCTCCGCTTCTGCCGGCCGACGCACCGCCGTTACTATTACCGGCGCTGCTACCGGCGCCGGCAGTCCGTACTATGCTGGCGGATACTCCCAATTTGGAATCCCGGCGGCGACGGCGGCGACGGTGGGTTCCTGGAAGCGGCGGCGATCGCGGGCGGATTGGCGGTCAGGTTCGGGATTGACGGGTTCCGCGTCGACGGCGGATGCAGCAGCCGCCGCGGCGACTAGGAGCGCTGCGGCGGGTGGCTATGCATCGTACGTCCCGGCGCCGCTGCCCATGGGCGCAATCGGCGCGATGGGCGGAATGTGCGGAATGGGCGGAATGGGCAGTATGGGCGGAATGGGCGGAATGGGAGCAATAGGCGCAACAGGCGACTCCAGCGCCGTCTACTACTATCCCTACCGCGCGTGGCGACTGGGGGACGAGCTCTTTGCACCTCGCGAAGGCCTTTTTCCGCCCGTCCGCCCGCCCCCTCCCGCGCATGCAGCAGCGCCGATGCAGCCGTTGTCGTCCGCCCCCCCGCCTCCTCCTGGCGTGTCGCCATCGGCCGACGGTGTGGTACTCGCAGGGCAGGGGCAGGCGTACTACTGCCACTCGGCGCCCAGTGAGGCGCATCGGCAGCAGGTTCCGCAGCACCATCAGCAGCAGCAACAGCAGCATCCTCAGCATTATCAGCCACAGCAGCAGCAGCCGCAGCAACAGCAGCAGCAACAGCAGCAGCAACAGCAGCAGGCGGGTACGACTTCCGGTCCTGGCGCGTACGGTCCCTTGGAGGGCGGCGGCGCTGAGCTGAGCAAGGCAGCCTCTGGCGGGGCGAGGGAAAACCAGAGACCCGCGCTGCTTTCTCCCGCTGCTCCCCCCGCTGATGCTCGCGCTGATGCTCGTGCTGAGTCTGCTGCTGCTACCCCTGCTGCCGCTGCTGCTGCTGCTGCTGCTGCTGCTGCTGCTGCCGCTGCTGCTGCTGCTGTTACCTCTCCTGCCACGGCTGCAGCTGCCCGTTCTTCCGCTACCTTCCCTCCCGCGCAGCCTGCTGCTGCGCGCCCTTCCCGCTCTCCGCCAGCCCGCAGCGCCGACGGCGCGCTCTCTTCACCGCACGTGGCGGATCTGCCCGCCGCCTTCCCCTACTACTACCCCTACCCCCCTTTTCCCAGCGCATCTGCGCCGCCTCCGCCTTCGGGGCCCTGCGGAGTGGTGGGGTGCTACGACTGGGCGTGCCGGCGCTGGCAGGGGGGGAGCATGGGTGCTCCGCTCCCCCTTCCGCCTCCTCCGCCTCCGCCCTTGCCCGCCTGCTGCTACCCCGTCAGTAGGGGCAGCGGCAGCGTGGCTGTTGATGGACTAGCGAACGGGCGGGTTTCTCAGCCGCAGTGGGCGCAGCAGCACGGGGCGCAGCATCAATTTCTTGCAGGACCGATGGCGCCACCGCAACAGCCAGTGCCGCAGTGGGGGGGACTCGCGTCGGACATGGAGTGGTGCGTGGAGGAGCAGCAGGGGAGGAACAACGTGGTGCATCTTGGGGGGTCGGGAGGGGATGACGTGGCGCCTCTGCCAAATCGCCTGGCTGCCGCAGCGGCGGCGGCAGCAGCAGCAGCAGCAACTGCAGGGTGCAAGCGCGGCAAGGAGGAGTGCTCGAGTGCGGGGCTGTGGAGGACCAACAAGAAGCCCTGCATTGACCCGTTCCCTGCTGCAGCTGCTGCCTCTGCTGCGCCTGCTGTGTCTGCGGCTCCTGCTGCTGCCGCCACCGTCGCTGCTGCTGCTCTGCGTGCATCAGGGCAGGAAGTGGCCGTTTCAGGAGTCACAGCAGCGCCGGCAGCCATGGCCTCTGGTTCAGGAGGAGATGTAGACGAACTGGCTCCAAAGCCGTTGGTGCAATCGCCGGCAGTAGCAGCAGTGGCAGCAGTGCCCCGGGCACCACTAGCGGCTCCAACAGTTGCTCTCTCGTCCGCACCACCACTGCCTGCAGCTATGCGTGTCGTCTCACCACCGGCTGAAGCAGCAGCAGCAGCAGCAGCAGCGGACGCAGGTAGGGCCGTGGCAGAGACGACTGTAACGACAAGCGGTTACCGCGGCGTGCGGCAGCGGCCGTGGGGGAAGTGGGCGGCTGAGATCCGGGATCACACGCGCGGAGTGCGAGTGTGGCTGGGCACGTATGACACTGCTGAGATGGCTGCGCGCGCGTACGATGCTGCTGCGCGTGCCATTCGCGGGCCCGATGCCAAGACCAATTTCCCACTGGTTGGAGGAGAGGGCGTGAGTGTGGAGGATGGGTGTGGTGGTGGGGGAGGGAGTAACGGTGGCTGCCACAGCAGCAGCAGCAGTGGCGTGTGCAGTGGTGGAGGCGGTGATGCTGCTGGTGCTGTTGGTGCTGGCGCCTCGGCTGCAGATGTGTCGCTTGCTGCCGTTCCTGCCACTCGTTTTATGCCCCACTCCATTCTAGGAGAAGCAGCAGCAGCAGCAGCTATTCCTGCGACTCAACCTGATGCTGCTACTGTTGCCGCTGCTGCTGCGGCGGCTGCTGCGGCTGCTGCTGCAGTTCCTTCAACAGCCTCTCGTTCTATCCCCGGCACGTGTGCGAGAACTCGCCTCTTCATGTGGCGCTGCTCACCCGCATCCATCACAAGGCAGGCAAAGGCAGGCGCAGGCGCTGTGGCAGGCGAGCGAGAAGCCACGGTTCCAACTCGCAGATGGGTGGTGGGAGACAACTCCGCTGTTCCAGCTGCATCAACAGCTGCTGCTGCTGCTGCTGCTGCTGCAGGCGCCATGCCACCACCAGCTCGGAAGGCGCTGGTCACAGCAGCAGCGGCCAATGCAGCCACTGCGGTTGCAGCAGGCGCAGTGAGCTGTAAGCAGAAGGCGGCAGGGAGTGCTGGCGGTGCTGCTGGTGATGCTGGTGCCGCTGCAGAGGCGGAGAGAGGTGGAGAGGAGGCGGCAGCGAGCAAGGGTCAGGGCCGTGGGTGCGGGTCGTTTGAGAGTGTGGCAGCGTCAGGCCTCTCGGATGATCCCATGCTCGTGCTCCCATCGCCACGTGCTGCTGCTACTGCTGCTGTGGCGGCGGCGGCTAGAGTGCCGTATGCTGCGAATGCTGGAGCAGCCGGTGCAGCTGTGGCGGCAGCAGTGATGGGGGAAGTCGATCTAGCGTTGAGGTCGGATGAGGAAGACCTTGTGCTGACAGGAGAGGTTGCTGCTGTGTGGCAACACAGTGTCTTTGACCTGGTTGCTCATGACAACGCGGCGTATGCAGGGAAGGGCGCATTTCGGAATGGAGGTGGTGAGGTGGGAGGAGGAGTTGGAGGAGGAAGGGTGGATTGTGAGTGGGGGATAGCGGCAGCACGAGAAGTGGACGGTGCTGCTGGGCCTCCTGCTGGTGCTGCTGCTGGTTCTGCTGCTGCTGCGGGTGCTGGTGCTGGTGTGGGTGTGGGTGTGCCTGCTGCATGTGTGAAGGATCTGGACGATATTTCGTGTGAGCTCTTTGGGGGTGACGATGATGATGGGGGACTGCTACTGGAAGGCGACCTTTGCTTGGATGCTTTTGACATGGACGATCTCAGCCAGAACGGCGAAGAGGGGGAGAGGGAGGAGGATAGTGGAGGGAAGGAGGGCGAGGAGGGGGTGGAGCTCCAGGGAAGTGGAGCGAAGGCGGAGGAGGATTTTTCACTGGAGGATGGTTTGGTTGCTGACTTTGACCTAACACTGGAGTTTGGGCCCGAGGTGCTGCGAGAGGTGGGAGAGGGGGGAGGGGCGGGAGAGGCGGAGGAAGCAGAGGAATTGGAGGGAGCAGAAGGGAGGGACGAGGAGGAGGAGAAGGAATGCTGTTTCCTGCAGGATGCTGCTGCTGCGCTGGGGCTGGACATGATGGGGGGGGGGAGGATGTGGAGGAGGAGGTGCTGGTGGGCGGGGAGCTGGAGTTGTTGGAGGGGCTGGAGCTGGACTGTGAGAGCATGTCGTTCAACTTCATGGCGGAGATCGACAGCGTGCTGCTGCTCGAGGATGTGTGCGCGCTGGAGGAGTCTGTTGGCGTAGGGGCTGCTGCTGCTGCTGCTTCTGGCGCTGCTGGTGCTGCCGGCACTACTGCTGGTGCCGGTGCGTGTGCCGGTGTTGGAGGTGTTGCAGAAGTTGCTGAGCAGAGTAAGAAGACTGAAGGGCAGTTCAGGGCGAGTGAGGGGAACGGACACAGCAGTGGTGGTGGTTACCACCGCAGCAGGTTGGACACGAGCAGGAAGGCCAAGGGAAGCAGTGTGCTGGGGAGGAAGAAGAGCAAGACTAAAAGGCACAGGAAGCCGGTTAGTGCAGGTGCTGGCTCATTGAAGGGAAAGAGAACGGGCGGCGTTGCCGCTCACAGAAGCGGCCACAATAGCCGTGCCTCCTCCTGGTCTGGGAATGGTAGTCATAGTGCTGGGCGGTGCAAGGAACCTGGTTCTGCTGCTGCTGCTGCTTTAAAGCAGAGTGTGGAGTCGGAGGGTTGGGATAGTGGTTCTTGCTCTGGTGCGGCTGCTGCAGCTGCCGCTGCTGCAGCTGCTGCCACCAGTGATATGTTTGATTGGAGTGGGCCGATGTGCCAGGGCGGCGAAGGTATGGTGGAGATTTCGTTTGGGCTGGACTGACTGACTGTCGTTGGAATGTGGGACTGTCAAGGACTGCCGTGGTTCATGCCACTGAGCATGGTGATGAGCATGGCTAACCTTTTTGGAGAGGAGGCAAGTGTGTCTAGAATCTTTTTTTTTTTTTTTTTTTTTTTTTTTTTTTGGTATCATTCTGTTTTCAAGCCCACATGGAGCCCATGTGGGCTTGTAGGCATTCCCGACGGGTATGTTGTCCTTGTTTAGCCTTGAGGGCCTACGTAGATTTTCTTGTTTGCATATTTGTTTGGTTTGTAGTTTTTTTTTGCTAGTTAAAACCACAGGCTAAAATAGCACTGGGGGGGCTTCAAGAGCGCCGTTCTTGAAAATAGTTCTTCTGAAAAAAAACGGGTTCCCAGTACGATTTTGCGGGGTGCGTTTTTGGGCAGCTGAACAATGATAGAAACGCAGTGGCGCCGATTTGACGCGTGCGCGACGAGGCGGATACGCGCGCTGTTGGGCTGAGAAAAGCCCTTAGGATCTTTTGCAGAGACTAAGTCCCAGCTGTAGAGACTTGAGACTTGGAGTAGTGCAGCGGAAGTTGAGGCAGTTGAACCCTTGTACTAGTATGTGAGAACAAGTGATTGATTAAAGAAACAAGCATACAGCAATATATAGTAGATAAGAAAGCAGTTGTAGAATACAGTTACAGGAACGGTTTATCGAGTCGCACAGCGACTCGATTGCCGCTTCGGTTACCATCCGTGATGTTGTAACGGTCAGTCGCAACCTCCAGTTGCGACCTTTCGAGTCCTTTCGCATTCTTTGTCCGCCCCCTCGTGTAACCTCCGTTGACTCGCGTGCTCCCCTGTAATCTTCCTCGAGTACAGTGTTACACTTCAGAAACGCTTAAGTCCTTGAGATATTTCCAACACTCCCCTTCGTTTCTGGAGTGCTGGAGTGTTCAGATCCGGTGGCGTTTGTTTGCCCGGTTAGGAGCATGCAGTAGTCGAATTTTGCTTTCGCCAATTTCTTCGTCAGATAATCTGCGGCCATTTCTGTCGTCGGGCAGTAACTGAGTTGAAGTCTCCCCTTCGCGATTTCATCCTTGACGAAGAAGTACCGCAGGGCGATGTGCTTGGTTCGATTGGCGAAGCCGTCCTTGTTCGCGATTTTGATCGCAGATTGGTTGTCGCAGAGGAGTGAGAAGGCGGGCAGGGTCGCGATCTTCGCTTCTTCGAGTAACTCTCGTAGGTAGAGTCCTTCCTTGGTCGCAGTACAAAGGGCGATATACTCTGCTTCAGCCGAGGATAGTGCGATTAACTCCTGCTTGCTCGACTGCCAGGAGATAGTTCCGATAGGTTCTAGTCGGTAGATGTAGCCCGTCCTAGACCGTCGATTTTCGCTGTCTCCCGCGTGGTCGGCGTCGACGTATCCGAGTAGTCGTACGGACGGTGTTGTTGCCTTGCTGTAGGTAAGCCCGATCGTCGGCGTGGAGACGAAGTAGAGTAGCGCTCGATTGAGTTCTTCGAGATCTTCCTGTTGCGGATGCTTCAGATGTGTCGCCAGCTGACTCGCACTATAGGATAGGTCGGGTCGGCAGGTTACTGCTGCGAATAGTAGGCAGCCGAGCTTCTGTTGATACTCCTGGATTTGTTTCGCGGGGAGTTTTGTAGAGGCGCTGCCGTTGTTCCCGTAGCGGTAGGGAGTTGGGACCGCAGTCGGTGTTAGAGCGAATTTCTTCGCGACGGTGCTTGAGTACTTTCCAGCGTGTAGGTAGAACGCCGTGTCGTCTTCGACGACGTTCAGTCCTAGGTACTGCGTAACTTCGTCGGACACCGTGAGAGTTAAATCTTCTTTCAGCTCCCCTTCGAACCAGGTGGCGATGTCGGTAGTTGAGCCGATGTAGAGCAGGTCGTCGACGTAGACGATGAGCAGAACATACTCTCTTCCCTTCTGCAGTCGGTACATCCCTTGGTCATGCGGCAGCTGTAGGAAGCCGATTTTTACGAGACGGCTGTGAAGATGCTGCTGCCAGAGCCGCGGGGCTTGCTTGATCCCGTATAGGGATTTTGTCAGTCGGCATATTTTCGTGGGGTCGTCGATGAATTCGTGGGGTTGTTCGACGAAGATCTCAGCGTCCACAGGTGCGTATAGGAACGCATTCGCGACATCGATTTGGCGTAGTGGTAGTGTTTTTGTGGCCGCGACGGCGAGTAGGATGCGTAATGAGGTGTGACGGGAGACTGGGGCGAAGGTTTCTGTGTAGTCGGTTCCGTATCGTTGATCGAAGCCTCGTACGACCCATCGAGCTTTGAATCGTTCGATGGAGCCGTCTGAGTTGGTCTTGATGCGGTACACCCATTTCCCCGAGAGAACGTTCTTCCCGTTGATGCTCGTTGCAGGTACCAGTTTCCATGTTTCTCGGTCTTGCAGAGCTTTTAACTCCTTTTCCATCGCTTCTTTCCATTTTGCCTTATGTTCCCCCCCCAGAGCCTGCGACAAGGTTGAAGGCTCACGCGTAGAAGGCGGCGGCGGATGCTGGACGGAGACCCAGAGGCCTAGAATCTGGAGTCCCGTGGGTGTGTGTCGAGGGGAATTGTCATTCCCCGAATAAGCTGCTTCGTCACCGTCTTCGGGGTCAGGTAAGAAATTGGGGCCGATGCGTTCCGAAATATTCGTGTCGACGGGGTGCGGTGTAGCGTAACCTTGGTCGGCGAAGTGGTAAAAGGTGTCGAGGTTGTTGCTATCGAGGGGATTATCTTCATCGAGTGGAACAGGTATGGAACAGAATGGGAGTGGCCCGGCAGCTTCCGAGGCTCCAGGTACGTCTTCTTCTGCTGCGTCAGCCTCGGCAGCATGGTCAGCGAAGGAGCGAAGGCCCGCGAAGCCGTCGGTGGGGTCGTCTGAGTTGGCAATGTTGTCCAGGTAATGCTGCAGCGTCAGTCGCTCGTAGAAGATAACATCACGTGAAGCCACCGTATTTTTGTCTTGTATGTCGAGGATCTTCCACGCGTGAAAATGTTTGGCGATGCCGAGGTGTAGTCCCCACCGAGCTCGTTGAGTGAAGCGTCCTGCTCGAGCTGTGTGGGGTCTGTATTGTACCATGCAGCCGAAAACTCGAAGTAATTTTGTGCTGCCCCTTTTTCCCGTCCACAGCAGGTGTGGTGATGCGTTGTTGGGGAGCGATGACGAGGACAACAGGTTGTGCAGGTGGACTGCATGTGTCATCGCGTCTGGCCACAGTGCGTTGGGCAGCCTCATCCCCAGAAGCAGTTTTCGCATCGTCGTCTGCAAGGTCCGGTTCATGCGTTCTGCTACCCCCTGCTGCTGGTGAGCATAGGGCAGAGACACCAGGCGTCGGATTCCCCTTTCCGCGAGATAGGTCCTGAAGCGTTGTGACTGGTATTCCAGTGCACCGTCTGACTGGAAACTCTTGAGTTTGGTTCCTGACTCTCGTTCGGCGATTGGAAGCCATGTGGTGAATGCCTCGAAGGCTTGATCGCGCGTTTTGAGATTGAAGTGCCAGACGTATCTGGTTGCGGCGTCGATGAACGTGATGACGTAGTTGAAGTCGGCTTCGGTGTCGTCTCGAGGCATGTTTAGAATATCGCTGTAGACCTTTTCCATCGGAGCGTAAGTGGGTGCGCTTGGATTGTGATGGGCTGGGAAAGGTTGATGAGGAAGATCTGCTTCGGGGCATGTGAAACACCGTGCGCGTGGTCGTCGGAGTTCCTGGCCGCTCGTCGTCAGAAGGGCGTTGCGTTCTAACACTTCTGCTTGGATTGTTTGAAGTATCGTGCTGTTTGCAGGATGTCCGAGACGTTGGTGCCAGATGTCGTCGGGAGCGCGGTGACCGGGCGAGCGGTGGTAGATGTCGGCGTTGGAGAAGAACGCGACGACCGAGGCGGGACTTCGACAAGCTTCTCGTGTGGCGGGCATAAGTTGGTCTGCTTCGGTTGGCTGTCCTCGTGTCGCTGGTGGTGGTACTCGGCTGGGTCCTGCTGCCGATACTGCAGGTGATGGTTTTGTTGGGACACATGCGGGTACTTGTCTTTCTTGTCTGATAACTGCTAATGCTCGTGTTCTTTCTGCTGCAGGTATGGTGTTGGAGTGCCAGAAGCCGTCGCTGTCGAAGTCGGGATCAAGATCTGGCGGATGAGTCCAGGCGGCGAAGGATACGATACCGTCGCTGTCGGCAGTTCCGCGGTCGGGGACGAAGTCCAACACGAAGACACCGGACTTCAGGAGGGCACGACCGATGAAGAGACCGCCCTTCCCGTGGTAAAGTCGGAACTCGTTGGAGAAGGAGTCGCACTCCAGGTGAATCCCCTTAGCCATTAGTTGGCTTACGCTTAATAGGTTGTATCCCAGATTGTCGACGATGAGGACCTTGTTGAGCTGAAGAATAACGTTTGTCTCCATTGATTGTAACTGAACCACGCCTTGTCTATTTGTTTTCAGGTTTTCGTTGTTGGCGACGGTGATGACGACGTCACGGTTGAGGCGTCGCTCGTGTTGTACGAAGCGTCCGGAGGAGCACATGTGCTGACCGCAGCAACTGTCCAAGAACCAGGTGTTCCGCCCGGTGGGTTCGGCGTTAGCGACTGCAGCGTATGTCGGGTTGACCTGAAGTCCTTGCGAGCGCGGCGGCGGGAATTCCTCTTCGTCTGGTGCGTAAGTGGGTGGTGAAGCGGGTGCGCAGTTGTCGATGTGTACCATGCAGTTGATGATGTTGGGTGTTTGTTGTGCAGATGTTGAAGAGCGCCTTGGAGGACTTGCTTGAGTGGAAGCGACTTGTGGGTCTGCTGCACGGTAAACGCGAGGGCGGTTGCAGTTGACCTTGGAGTGCCCGGAAGTCTGACAGTTGTGGCAGAACGGCGGCACGATGGTGAGTCCTCGGTTGTCGCGTTGATCTTGCTTGCTGCGTCGGTTGTAGTTGTTGTCATTTCTTCTTTGAGTGTAGAAGACTAACTGCTGTTGCTTCCTTGGTTGTCTTTCCTCGAACAGATCCATCTCCTGTTGTTCAGCGTGAAGCTCGGCGCAGAGGTGCATCTCCGAAATTCTTCCGTGGGCTCGAAGAAGTGATCGTGTGGTTCTCCATTCTGGCCCGAGCCCGGCGAGGACAAGTGTCACGAAGCTTTCTTCAGTGATCGTTCCTCCGCACCGAAGCAGGCGGTCGCGGAGGGTCTGGCAGCGACTCATATACTGCATCGCCTTTTCCCCGGTCTTCATCTGTATTGTTGTCAGCTGTTGCATGAGTCTGCTTTGTGTCACGCTGTCGTTTGCTTGGTAAAGGCATTTGAGGTGGTGCCATGCGAGCTCCGCGGAGTTTCCATAACTCCGATACGTTCTGATGCTCTGCTGCTCTTGTGGTGACAGGTTTCTCAGGAGTACCGTGTACGCCAGCAGCGACTGATAC